TTAAGTCCTTCAATTCTTGTTAAATAGGAAACATTTGTATCTTGAAAATAAAGACATCCTTAAATTGGAAAAAATAATTACTTTGATTCAAGTCATTTCTGATGTTGTACCAAACTGAGAAAGTTTCTCAAAATAGAAGAAAAAGGAGTGAGAGAAGATGAGAAGGAGTTCAGTGTAGTGTTAAGACATCATTAGGCAGCAAAGAAAGAAGAAAGAGCAACAATGACAAAAATATACAAGACACATTGTCAGAAGCCAAAGAAGTATCAAATGTAATTGATAACAGGCGAGAGAAGCCCATTGTCCTCTGGTGGTGTGCTATTTTAATAGATACATAGTCATACATAAATCTTCATCCATACAAATACCTGAATCCGTATCTATATATCTGTATAATTATGTTACCTGTAGTTACTCAAGCAGGAGGAAAATCCTATAGATGTTAATTTTATTTAGCTTAAAGTTTGCACCTCTTCAATGTTTTGATGGGATCAGAGGTGGCCATAGACTACTGTTTTGAAAGATAAACTTTTTTGTCACTTCCGATCTTGTTTTAAAAATAATTTTATAACATCTGTTTATCACTGTCTACCTAGCATCTTCTATCTATCTATCTATCTATCTATCTATCTATCTATCTATCATCTATCTATCATCTATCTATGTATCTATCTAATCTATTATATCATTTTTCAATCTATCTATCTATGATGTATCTGTCATCTGTCTTTGTCTATATGTATATATGTGTGGGCGAGCACATGCCATGCCACTGTGTGTATGTGGAGCTCAGAGAACAACTTGTAAGAATGGTTCTTTCTTTCTACCATGTAGGACCTAGGGATTGAACTCAGGTTGTCCACCTTGGCAGCAGGCTCCTTTACCTATGGAGCTATCTTGAAGGCCCACCTCCAATCTCATAGCAGCAGAAGGCTTATAGGTGAACCTTTGATCTTCTTCTTATCTGCCTTGGGAGAAGGATAGATAAAACCAAAGAGCCCAAGGATATAAAGACAGCATCAACAATAATAACAACAGCAGCAACAGCGACAGTAAAACTTTTTGAACTCTCTCTCAGAAACATTATCAAATAAAACAATTAAATTGTCTAAGAAATGAATTAGAGGAGACAGAAGTGGGATTGTACTGCTCAAGAAAAGACTAGGAAAATTAAATAGCTACATATAATTACTTCCACATGCTCTGAAAACAAAGTGCATCTAACATGACAGTGTAAAATGGACACTTCCATTACACTGGAGTTCTGACTATGCTGAGTAGGCCCGACAAGAGACTAGGGAGAGTGAACTCAAGAACAGAGGTGCATGAATTAAGTATGTCCCCTGACCACACAGCTGCTCTAGACATTTTAGCTTTGAGGTTTGATGTTTCAGAAGTCTGTTTTCAAACGTTAATGATAAAACTTATGCATAAAACTTTTGGAGGCTTAAGTCTAAAGTTCAAGAATGTTCATGGGCATGAGGTTCAATGTCAGCCAGTGGTCATATCATTACAGAAAATAACATCAACAAAATGGTTGTGTAGTGTAAGAAAACAGGGAAAACGGCTCCTGGGACTTCATACCATGAAACATCAATAAATTCATATTATTCATGACAGTGAACATAAATAGGTTATGATAGTTAAATAAAAATAATTAACTTTACTCTGGGGTTAAGAAGTCTAGAAAAAACATTCTAAGTGTAGGTTGTTTCTAAAATGCATATTATCTAAAACACAGAGAAAAGAAATAACAATTGTTTTGTAGAAGACAGAGAATAAATAAAACCAAAATATTGGGTTAACATGCAAACAAATTATTTAAAAATCACAAAGAAAACACTTTTGTAGCAATATACAATTAAGAATTAAAGGCACAAACACAAAAATTGATGTAGGCATATTTTAATTTAATTTGATAATCAATACAAGTTACACTGTGGACAGGAAGAAATATTCACTCAATGAATAACATATCAACTCTAATGTTATTTTCTTGACAATAAAAGATTATTGCATAATGACCTCAAGAAGAAAAGAATTATAATATGGAAAAGAATGACTTTAGCCAATTTTTCCTACATACTAGAAATTAACCAGCCTAAACTAAGAATACAAAGAGTTTGCATTATGGATTGTAATTAAATAGACCAAGTTGAAATTTGTATCTTGCAATCTTGAATCAAATTGAGAAATTCAGGAGAGAAGGCCCAAACAAGATTCAAAAACTAAAGCTCTATTTCCAGCAATGTCAAAACTTGCGTTTAAGAAAGGACACAGGGGTCTGTGTAGGTGGTTTTATTTATTAAATATTCACAAAACAGAACAAAGAAATATATATAAATTCTCCTTATTTATTCACTAAGATCCTTAGCAATAGAATTGATGTGATCTCCAATACTACAAGCAAGCGTATTTCCACAGTAGAGCAGCTATTTTGCATATATGAAACCTGGATTCTATACTCAGACTGCAAAAATAATCATCCAAGCTGAGTTATGAAAATAAGCAAGTCTTGATCATACTCTGGTAAATTGAGACCAGCCTTCTTGAAGCAGGGTTGAATTCATGACCAGATTTAGAACATTCCAGGAATGCAATAGTGACTTATTATTAGAAACATCTCATGATATGTCCTTGGATCAAAAGAAAATATTCTTGGTGGTAAAAATGGCATTTCTTAAAATTTAAAATCAATTACTGATAAATAATATTGACCCAAGAATGGAAACTCTGTCATGAAACCATCAAGTTTTTCTCTTGGTTTTTGTTTCAAGCTGGATTCTAAGTGTTGCTGTCACCCAGTGCCTGGCCTCTGAGCGTTAATAATCCCATGTGAAGTTGTAGGACCATAAAGCAGAGTTAGTGTGGCATAGACATCTGAACTTCCAATAAGAATAATACCAGAACAGAATGGAGTCACGCAGGCCTGGATTATTAACGAAAGCACACATGCCCTTGATAGATTCATTACATCTGTGAGTATCAAGAAGATGGGAGATCCACGGGGCTGGCCATATCCACAGAGATGAGGGAAAGATGGAAAATCTGTCCTTTGAGGTTCCGTTGAGTGGTGATGGTTGAGTTCTGTTGACTGACATCAATTAAAAGAATATTTTCCACAAGAACCTGAAAAACTTCATCTATGGGAATTAATAGACAAAACAAACAAATAAACAAACAACCCCCCAAACCCAAACAAACAAAACTTGGATTTACCGAGTTTCAGCTAGGTTGCTTTTCCCAGGTAGCTTTCTATTTTCCTATGCATGTGGTCACTGTTCTTGAGATATAGCTAAGTACTCTCACACACCACTCCAGAAGTATGCAAAAATAATTTTTCAATAAACATTGCTGGGTGATCCGTCATACATACAAAAATACCTAAGATATATGTGAGCAGTGTAGTGAATCATAAAATGTACACCCACGGACCCTCCCTCCAGCTGAGGCAGATATTTCCAGCATTCCACCATGCTAAGCTCTGGTGTAAAATATATCAAGTTTGTCTCCACCCTTTCCCATGGGGTAATCCATGATCCCACATTCATGTTTATTATCCATTTTGGGCTTATCTTTATGTTTCAATGCCTCTTTATAACTCACAAAATCAAACAGTTCGATTTCACCCGCTTTAGAGTTTGCCGACTGTGATACATTCTGTGTGGGGTTGTGAGACCGTGAGACTTCTGGGAGTCCATCAACACCGGAGCAGACTAGACCAAGGGCTCAGGAGCCAAACTCTGAAATCAATAGATGTTCGTATCACACGCTATTCATTGGCAGTGACGGGCTTAGGTGAGGACATCAAAAGCTGCCGTGTTTCTTAGGTAGCTCTTTTGCAGGTACACTTCGGAGCAAGGGGTTTCAGAGTCGCCGTTCCTAGAATGTACTGTAACCTATCCTGCTTTGGCCTGCACTTTCCTGTCTCGATTCCATAAAGTCAGCCTACTCGCAAACTGGAGGCTCTTCTAGACTTTCTCCAGATCCTGCTACCACCTTCCACAAAGCTATTTTCTCTAAATAAAATTTATGAACACTTAATTCCACCTGGATGTATGTTTCTCGGAAGACTTGAAAATTACACCCTCCAACACTTTTGACTTTTGTCTCAAACTACGTTTCATGTAAAGTGTGCGTGCGCGCATGCACATGTGCACATGCGTGCCAGTCCTAGTGCATATGTGGAGGTCAGAGGGCAACTCCCTGAAGTCAGATCTCTGCTTCCACACAGTGGGTCCCTACGGTGAAACTTGGGTTGTCAGGTTCGGAGGCAGAGCCTTGACCAGCTGAGCCATCTCTAAGATTCACATTCGACGTATTTCTTACAGTAATGTTTTCTCGTTGGCATTCTACTGACACTGATGTGTGAATCTATTCATTTTCTCCACTGTGCAATTTCAATTGCTTTTAGGTCAAATTTTACTTAGGTCTTTGTCTGTTGGCAGGTAAATTTATTTCTTTTTAAAAAAAATTCATACAGTTTAACCAGACTTGAAAACAATGTTCTGTGAGCCAGATCTGCTTGCTTGCTGTGAAAAAAAAAAAAAAAGACATGAGTAAACAACTTAAGGAAGGAGGGATTTATTGTGGCTCAAAGTTTAAGGATCTAGTCCAACATCCATTGCAGGGAAGGCTTGGAGGCAAGGGCATGAGACAGCCAGTCACATCATATCATCAGTCAGGCAACTGAGACAGATAAATGCTGCCGTGAGCTGGTTCCCCGATCCACTGGTGCTCACTAAAGGATCTCAGCCCTGGAAATGACACTCATTTAGAGTGAATTGTACCTTTTCAGTTAAACCTGTTGAGAAACACCCTTACAAATACACCAGAGGGTGTGTCTCCTAGGAAATTCTTAGTCTAGCCAAGCCAGTAATGCAGATGAGTTGTTATGGCCCACAACGTAAGAACTATGTATATTCAAATGATATGTGAATACGAAATTCAAATTTCATGCTTCGTAACAAGTTTTGTTGTATAGAAGATGTTGCTGGATGTCTGCCTCTAGAGGTGTTGCAGGTGTGGCTGCTGTGTCACATGTATGCCAATAGGTGGCAGAGAGGAGAATGGCTATCCCCATGCTCAATGCTCTGCCCTGGCCTATGAACATCTGAATGATTAGTAGTCTAACAGTCCATTCCAGTCAGGATCACACAGGCTCTCAGGGAACGGAGTGAGATGGAAACTAGAAGAACCCACCTGGGACTGAGAGCTCTTAGTGGGTGTTAGCCTGAGACAGATGACCCCTGCATGGGACCACAAGGGTGGTCCAGATGAGGAGCAAGCCCAAGATAACCGCCAGTTCGGTACCATGGGACCTGGACAGGAAGCTAGCCTGAGATGACTACCAGTGTTGCTCAGGTCTGGGGCTGGAGGGGGCCGACCATACCTGAGATGACCCCTCTCTGGTGCCATAATGTATGGGTGGGGCATAGGACTCCCTAGACTACTCCTGAGATGACCCCAGACACTCAGAGACCTGTGGAGCCAAGTAGAGAAATTAAAGAGAAAAAAGGATGTGGACACAATGAAGAGAGGCAGAACTGGAGACTTGAGGAAGTGGGGAGGAACAGCCTGATGTGAGTAGCCAGTGATGCCACCTGGGGTCACGTTTGGGCCTGTGGCCTGCAGCAGCAGGCCTCTGTTACCAGCAAAGGCCAGGTGGACATCCCTGGTCTGGGCTGCTGCTCAGAGACATGTCCAGGTCTGAGAGCTGTGCAGAACTGGTTCTACCCTCACCTCAGCATCCTAGGAGAGCTGGCCCTGGGGTCCTGAGAGCAGGAGAGCTGACCTTGTTCCTTGCCAGCTGTAGTACTCTGGAGAGTGGCCCTACATATTACCCAGGATGCACAATAGAGCTAGCCTGGTTGTGGGAGCTGGCCCTGAGGGTATGAGCATGGGAGAGCTGGTCTGCCACTCATCTCCCATGCAGTGGCCTAGACAAGGGAGAGATACCTTCCTCCTCTATGGTCCCTCCTCACCAGCTGTGGCAGTGGGAGACCTGGTCCTGGGGTCATGAGAGCCATTGAGCTGGCCCTGCCTCTCACCAGCTGCAGCACTTAGGAGAGTGGGCCCTGCACCTTGCTTAGGCTGCACAGTAATGCTGGCTCTAGCTAGTCATGGGGATTGTGAGTGAGCTAGCCTAGAGGATGAAAGCCTAGGAGAGACAACATTGACTCTTATCTGCTGTGCGGTGGTGCAGAAGAAAGAGTGAGATGCTTCCCCCGTTCTGTCCCTCATCCTTTGCCACCTATGGCAGGTAGGAGAGTTGGCCCCAGGGTCATGAGAGTGGGAGAACTGGCCGTGTTCCTCACCAGCCACAACACTCAGGAAAGAAGGTCCTGCACCTTGCCTGGGCAGCATGGTAGAGCTGGCCCAGGATGCAGGGGTTGTGGGTGAGCCAGACCCAGGGAGTGAGAGTGAAAAACTGGCTCTTCTCCTTGCTAGCAGTAGCATTGGGTGGTCAAGCCAGGGCAAAGCAGGAGAGCTCTGTGTGGGTATGGGAGAGGTAGTGGGATGACCAGCTCAGATGGCTCTCAGGCCCAGATCCAGGGCTTTGAATTGGCCCACCCCAACATGTACCCCATAGATGAACCTCTGAAGTACATGAAAGGGCAGGTTCTACAGATCCAAAACTACAGAATCTCCATGACATAGGGCAATAACAGGATATCTGAGAGCAGTCACAGTGAGGTTTTAGTATTGATAGAGTAGCAGAAGCCAGAGGCCTCCTACCAGACCTAGGAGTCATTGCAATGAGCATTTGCAAGCAAAGAAATGTGGTCAAAACAGCATACTGTAGGACACACTGAGACACACTGTAGCTTCCTCATGAGATTCTTTTCCTCTTTGTTGGAGAGGAGGTTGCAAGGGTGGAGGACAGGTGTGAGGGGAGAGGAGGATGAGTGGGATTGGGGTGTGTGATGTGAATTCACAAAGAACCAATAAAAAGTAAAAAAAAAAAAAAAGGTGTTGGATGATCTTCAAAGAGCCAAATATTTTCTATTTGGTCCTTCACGTAAGGAGTTTGCTAACATTTGCTATAAAGAATGCTACAGTGGGGCCTTAAGAGATGGCTCATCAGTTAAGAGCACTTGCTGCTCTTCCAGAGGAACTAGGTTCTATTACCAACACCCACATGGTGACTTATGACCGTCTGTAACTTCAGCTCCAGAGGATCTTACATCACTGGTCTTCTCAGACACCTGTACTTCTGTACATATAACCACACACAAACACACACAGCCACAAGTAACTGATAATAATAAGAATAAATATTTTTAAAGGAATGCTACTATGGTGGTTCCCATGAAAATGGTCCCCATAGGCTCATAAGGAACACTACTAGGAACTGTAGCCTTGTTGGAGTATGTGTGTTCTTGCTGGAGGAAGTATGTCAGTGGGGCTGGGCTTTGAGGTTTCAGATGCTCAAGCCAGGCCCAGTGTCACTCTCTTTTGTCTAGCATCAAGTCTGCCTGCCTGCATGCTGCCATGCTTCCCACCATGATGATAAAGGACTAACTTCTGAACTGTGAACCACCCCCTAAATGTTTCTTTCCCAAACGTTTCTGTGGCCGTAAGTGTCTCTTCATAGCAATAAGAAGCCTTAACTAAAACAATTACTGTGAATGATTTTAGACGCGTCTCCTGATGTATATGTGTAAATCTTTAGAAGAGAGTGAGCTGTGTCTGAGCTGTAGAGCACATACATGCTTTTTTTAAATTAGATAGTGTAAATTGTTTTCCAGAGTGCTTACAGTCCCTTTCTCTTCTCTTTGCAGTGAGAAAAATCACTCTTGACCACAGCCTTACTCAGTTACAACTGTCTAGCTCCTCACTTCTTACTGAACGGTGGGAAATGTTTCCTCATTATGATTTTAATAATCATTTTCTTGATTATTAATTAAACTGAACAGATGCTTATGGTTGATCTCTATTTTTTCAATGTTACTCTATTTTATCTCTTTTCTCTCAGATTCTTATCTTTTTCCTTGATGAATGTACAAGGTCTATGAATCCTTTATCTTTTAATTTACTGAATTAATTAATGTCATTTAATTTATGACATTATTATTATTATTATTATTATATTATATTTATTGTGTCTTGGTCATCAGAATTTTCTTCTTCCTTCCTTCCTTCCTTCCTTCCTTCCTTTCTTTCTTTCTTTTGGATCAAGGAAGGGTTTATTTTAGCTAACATCTTGAGAGTCCAATCCACTATGGTGGGGACGCAATGAAACTTGAAGCAATTGGCCTCCTCACATCCAGAGAAGACTATCCATGATTAGCTCACTGTCTTTCTATGCAGTTCAGGATCTCAGTACATGGAATGGTGTTGCCAAAATTTAGGGTAAGGCTTCCAACCCTGATTTCATAGTCTAAATCATCCCTACAGGCATTCCCAGAAGTTTGTCTTCTTCATAACTCTGGATTTGTCAAGTTGACAGTGAATGCTAACCCTCACAAGTGATGCAAGACCCCATGCCTCACTTCATCCTGCATATCCTCCATCAGAAAGTGCAGAACCTCAGCAACAGAGAACAAAAGAAAGCTATATGGCCCATGTCAGAATGAGGGATCACTCAAGGCTTCCATGTCTCTTCCATACCACCCTCTGTCCTTTTTTTTTTTTTTCTAGCTAGCATGGTCATGAATAAAGTGTAAATATCATAATTTCTATCTGGAAGCATTTCTGTGACCATGTAATCAATTGTGTAACTGAAGAAGAAAATCCTCATTTATTAAATCACTAAGTATTGGCAAGCCCTTTTTATGGGTTACCATAGACACTTCTGATTCCTAGGTTCTTCACTATTAACTGTTGAACAAGTATCTCTGGAAGGTTTTCTCCTTTCCAAATTTCATAGTATTTTAAGAGAAAGAGCCTTACTTAATACATGTGTATATACATGTACACTGCAGTTACAATGTCTATGATAGTTGCTTTGGCCACAATAAATATTTACAAAAAGCCTCTTGTGGCTTAGCAAAATTCCATGATTTATATATAGTTTCCCACAAAGTCTCATGTGTTGAAAGCCTGATCCCCAATGTGGCCGTACTGAAGTGTAGTACTAATGGAAGTTGATAAGGTACCAGAGAATACTACTAAAGCATTAATGCAGTTCTCATGGGATCCTGGCCAGTTACTAAGGGACCAAATTGCTTTAAAAAGAGCAAGTCTCTGCTTTCCTGCACCTGGATGTAACCTCTCTTCTTGACATAGTCCCACTTGCTATGAGATAGACCCTGAAGGTCCTCACTGGAACCCAGGAGATGTTGACGTTGACACCAAGCTCCTGAGCTCTTTAGACTACGGGGTGAGTTATCATATTTCTTTCTGTATTATTCATCTTTAGGTATTTTATTATAGCAAAAGAAAATGGGCTAGGGAGAGAAGAGATGGGAAGTAGTTAAGAGCTCTTACTGCTCTTGTAGAAGACTTAGCACTAGCATGGTGGCTCTGAAATACCAGTAACTTAAGTCTCAGGTGGTTCCAATGCTCTCTTCTGGCCTCCACAGGCACTGCATGCATGTGGCGCATATACATGTAGATAACAGTCTCATATACATTTTAAAAATCATTACAAAAAAGTTAACAGACTAAAACCCTTAATGAATGTTTATGTAGCTGAGTATTTTTCAACTTAGAGATTTAGTCAGGGCTCAGTTGGGTAGTTCTTTGGGTCTTGGCTAGGATCCAGCATCTTTTGTTACCTTTCCAGGTGTTTGCTAATCTCTGATGAGTGCAGCCAGGATGAGTAAGCAGCTTGTCTCTCCTAGCTGGTGAGGCCAGATTTATTTCACAAGAACAAACACCTGAGAGAAGAGAGTCTTGGTGTTTACAGTTCTGGCATCTTAACTTTTGCCTCCACATTTGTACTGTAACCACTGAGCCATCTCCCAAGCCCAACTTTGTTTTTCTCTTTGTGTTCTAGACTATGCCTTGACTTCCTCTTCAGACAGGCCCTCTAGGTCTCAGAGTAAACACAAGGCATATTCTCAGGTGTGCTGCTACCTCTTTACTTCCTGTGAAGCTGGATGTGTCTGAATACCTGGTGTGTGTGTGTGTGGTGGGGTGAGCTGCAACTGGTGTGTGTGTGCTGTGAGGGATCGGGTCCAGCGCCAGGTC